ATATAAATAAATGAAAAAATTTACTAACCTAAAATGGGTATGTCTTTCCTTGCTTATTCTCGCTGCCATTTCCTTATTCTCTTCTCCTTCCACATCAAGCCTATTTACTCCATTTCAATACCTCCCATTTCCCCCACTCATTTGTAATCTATTTTTAATCTCCTCTTTTCTTTGTCTCATCTCTTCTTTTCTTGGAAGGAAGAAAAGGTTCAATGACTTGGCCAAAGGCACAGTGGAAGTCAGTGTTGGGCACTGGGATGAAATGCAGTATAGCCTCATGATGATGAGCCACCCCCCTCTTTGTAACAGGAGCTCACACTGACTACTCCAGTGAAGCAAGCTCAGCTACTGATTAGTGACCAGCAACCAGATGGAACTTGTGATGACCATAGCACCATCAGCCCAGGAGGCAGTCCCCTACTCATAAATTCAAGTCCAGGATCCTTACAACCCTGGGTTTAACAGGTACCATGCACAACTTGACTTTTGATAGCCTATTGTTTTTCAGGGGAAAAAAATCACTGCAAATTTTCAATCCAGACGAGGAGGTTGCATTTCTGGGATGATTGTGATACTGAAATAGGTTAGAAACATTTTAATTAAAAACTGATTTCACCCTTGACACTTATAGAGTTGTAAAATTCAGAAGGGTCCTTGGCTTTGGGCTTCAGTGGCCACATAGTTTGAGGGTCTTAACTCCTAAGGACATTCATGTCATCAAGAACAGATCAAAGGGGACATTTAAGACTTATTGGAATCTTAGTTATAGAAAGCACCTATATTATATAAACTTTACAGCTGATGATATAAAGGTTACAAGAGTCCTATAGCACGGGAGCTGTTGCATCAAGCTCCCTTCAGAGAAGAAAACCTAACACAAAGAATTAATTGTCATAATTAAAAGTTACATCAAATGGCCCCAAATCCTCTGTGCTAGACAGTATAGTTGGGTTGAAATGGACAAATTCCCATACTATCCTTAAACACCTCAATGAATGGCCCAGTATGTCTGAAAAAAGCACATATATGTAGGAAACATGTTCCTAGATCAACACAGGACCAAGAGCTCATAAACTTGTAATTTCCGTCCTCTTCCCTCAAATATGCACTGCTGTATAATTACACCCTACATAGATTTTTTATTTGTGAAATTTCTATCAAAAACAGTAAAAATCAATATTTTTCT